CACAGCAGCAAGGCTGCTACTGCTCTGTTGGCTGCTGGCACAGGCAGGGATTTAGTCTCAGGCAGACTGGAGGGCCAGCAGCAAGGTCACTGCCCGTGGACAACCCTCCTTGCCACATACATGGTCCCTCTGCAATGCTAGGTTTCACACTGCAGCAGGCTGGCCATCAACCTGCTCCATCAGCCTGGTCCCTGCAGGCCCTGCCTCTTTGAGGACAGGACCTCTCCTAGAGCTCAGGACTCCTCTTGGACACACACCAGGCACCAGAGGAGGTCCTTGTCATTTGTAGCTGGGCAGGAGCCTCTTCCTCCAGAGAAGAAATAGCTGGGGAGGCTACAGGCAGGATCCAACGATCATGAGTGAACTGCCTGGCAGGGCCACTGCTGGTCATGGCACTGGAAACATCATGCCATCCTGCTCAGCAAGTTTTTGTGGGTATAATGGGATCTATTTGGCTATAGCAGCTATGGAGCACAGGTCCCAGCTGGTTGTAATGCCAATACACCCACAGCTTAGAGAAGCCTTCCTCCCTGCCAGTCCAAACATGGCTGGTCCCACTCAAAGGGGAGCTCCCCTAACGTTGTGTGGCAGTGCCAGCCGTGGGCCCCCACAGCATGTTAAGCCATGCCGACCTCTTCCCAGGGAGTCAGCCTCCTTACCCCATCCTGAACAGAGCAACCCTGAGCCTGCAGAGAGGGGAAGCCAGCTCATTGCTGCAGCAGCTCGCTCAGATTTGTTTAGGAAAGCTCATTAACTCATGCATGCTTGGAAGCTGCCCTGGTGTGTGGCATGAGGGATAAAAGCTGAGGCTGCAGGAGGACCAGGGTGGCTTCACCTTACTCCCAGACAGAGACTGCCTACGTTTATCCAATCGCTGCAAGAGAAGAAGGAAATGAAGTTTCTGTTGCTGGAAAAGGCCCACCAGGACACCAGCTGTGCCTGGGACACCACGTGGTCCTCCCCACCCCTGCACCTTCTCAAGCACCCTTGTGCTCCCCTTGTACTGCACTGCCAGAGCAGCCCCCACCCCCACTAACAGATTTACCCCAGTTGTCCCCCCAGGGCAGTACTGGAGCCAAAAGGAGCTCCTGGAAGCAGCTGTAAGCTCTCTGAAGCCCAGGAGCGAGCTCCCTCCTGCTCTCCCATCAATCCTGCCTGCCCTGTAGCTGCTTGTCACCCACAAAACCTGGCAGGATCAGCCTGCATCACCTGCCCTCACCTGTTTGATCTCACTTTTCAGCCTGACAATGCCGGCACGCTCAGGCTTGGTAGCCCCGACAGCCCCCACCTCACAGATGGAGATAGTGGTGGTAAGTGATGAGTTGACTGATTGCACTGGAGGGGAAGAGAGATCTAGAGTGGGTACCATGGCTTAGGGCACAGACGTCCCTCATCATTGCTCAGGCACTGGTACCTCTGCACACTTTTGCCCTCTATCCCAACCAGCACCAGAGATCCATGAACACAGCACAGAACTGCTTCAATTCAGGCCTGACCAGGCCAAGTGCCAAACTAAGCAAAGCCCCTGTAGCCACAGGACTTGGGCTTGATCCCCAGAAATTGGCTCAGCACCACCCTGCTGAAGAGCACAGCTTCTTGCTGGACCACTGCAGTGCAGAAGCAGCTGTGCTGAACATGCAGGAGGACAGGGACGTCCTCCACAGGTGGGAACACCTGGAGCTGGCCATGCTCCACACCAGGACCCAGCTTTGCCCAGAGATACTCTCACAACCCTGCTGAGAGACTCACCGCTCCTTTCCACCCCAAACTCCTTGCCGGAGAGGATGTGGTAGAGAAGGCTCTTCATGTCTGACGGGCTGAGATTCATCAGGTTCTCAGTGGCTTCTCCAGCTGGAGAGAACAGAGTTGGGATGTTGTACCCCGCTTCACAGCCCTCCTGGGACATTTCTACCCTGCACCCCATTCTGTCAGCAGGGGAAGCACTGGTACAGGAGCTCATCCTCCAAGGACGTACGAATTCCAGGTGTTGCCTACAACAGGGACTCCTCCCCATGCCAGCCCAACACATGCCTGAATTGAGACTGCAGTAAAATCACCTGCCTGTGCTGCCCGAGAACAGTCCCAACTGCAGACCCTGGCACTTTCATGCAGGGTCTCGTCCTGGTGCTGAGCTGCCCATTTTTAACTGCACTTCGCCTTCCTGGCTGACAGGGCCCCAAGCATCTCAGCACCCACCCCAGCCAGGGCATTGTCCCTGCTGCACATACCTGAGCAGTGCAGGGAGTGTGCCAGCTCCGTTGCCATCACCTGGATGATGAGCCCAATGCGGATGCGGAACATCTCAGCGAAGAGTGTGGGCTGTGTGCGCATGTACATGGCCAAGTACACCATGATCTCCTGAAGGGGAAGAGGCAGATCACCCCACTGCTGCTCGCCAGGGCAGACACCCAGCTGTGGGGTCCCCTGCTGCCCCGGCCCCTCACCTGGGTGAGGATAGATACACTGAGGTTCTTCTCGCTGGCTTCATCAATGAGGCGAACGAGCTCCTCATAGGGGATAGGGCTGAGGAGGGAACAAACGGCAGAGCAGGTGAGAGACAGTAGAGCAAGCCCTGCATCCTTCCTGGTCTGTACAGCCCAGAGGGGAGATACAGGCTGGGGACAGCCACCCAAAGCTGCAGGCTCACATCCAGCCCCAGCCCAGCACACGTGGGGAGGGAAAGGTACCACACTCACGTGGAGATTGTCTTCTCGCGTGGCTCCGGGGGCAGCCCCACCGTCAAGTGCTTCTGGTGAGACAGGAGGTCAGTGCAGGCCTGGGGACAGAAAGGGTCACCCCAGGCATCACCAACAGCTCAGGGTTTGGGGCCTCAGCACAAGGCAGAGGGAGACAGAGCTGATGCAGCCACAGTTCGCCTGCCCACTCTGCTGCCTTCTCCTTGATGGACCTTGGCCCACTAGAGGCTAGCTGCATGGTTGTTACCTCATCCAGAGCTTCCACCTTCTTCTTGAGGATGCCAGAGATGTAGCGGATCAGGGCCCACTGGCGCGTGTTCCCCACCCGCATGTACAGCTCAGTGAGGAGCTCCTCAACAGTGGGGCCAGGCTCGCTATCAAGCCCTGTGTGCCACTTGGGCCCCCTGCAGTAAAGGAGATGCCAAGTTATAGCCAGCAATTTGCCCTGCGGCAGCTCCCTGGCAGCCCCCAGGCTTTGCGGGTTGGGATGCATGCATGGCTGCGCTGGCCCTCTCTCTGCTCAGTGAGCCAGCAGGACTTGGAGCTCATCATACTTGAGGACGTGAAGCATGTAGAGGATGTCCGCTTGCTCCTGCAGCGTGGGGCAGATGCGCAGCTGGTCCACCAGTGCCTTGCAGTCCATGTTGCCATCCTCATCACGGGGCAGGCTCATCTCTGCATAGGGTGTGTGGCTCTGGGGGAAGGGAGACCCACACTTCTGGTTAGCATTGGCAGCACCCTGCACCAAGTGCGGTCTAGTTATGGAGCCAAGGCCAATCACCCATGGATATTCCCCCTCGCCAAACACCAAGCTTTTCCCATGCAGCCCTGCAAGGGCCCTCTGCCTCCAGCTGAAAGGATGGCACTGTTCGGCCAGTCCGGGAGGGACAGGGCTCACCTTGCTATCCACGTTGTGCTGGTGGGGTGAACTCAGCAGCTTGACCGACTGCTGGGATGCCTGGAAGATCTTGCTGGGGATATACATCCCAACATCTACAAGAAAGCCAAGGTTGGTGCAGACACTTCTCAACCCCAACCACCACTGCTGTGCCCCAAACCACCTCACATCTGACACTCTGCTCCCCCAGCAGCCCCTGCAGAGAAGTCGGCTATGGGAGAAGCAGCCCCTGCCCACCCAGTTAGGGGAAGGCCATGGGGAGCTGCCATCCCTTATCATTCAGCAGTTCCCACGAGGACTGCACAGGCACGAACTCCAAGATACTCCAAGGCCAGGACTAACATGATGGACATAATGTGCCTTTGCCCAGGCAAAGGCTGGGTTGCTCTGCAGTCCATGGCATGCTCCCCTGGGGCCTCCAGCATCACACAGCTGGAAAAACTCCCAAAGCACCTCAGCCTCAACCCCGGGCTCGAGCAAAGGTGCTGAGGGTGCTGGCGTTACTCACTCTGGACATGAAGGTCCTTGGCCTTGGAAGCCAGGGACATGAGGTCACGGGTGGTGTGGACAGCAGCCCGGAAACGGCTCAGCCCTCCCCGCTGGGCGGTGGGAGGGAGGTTCGACTGGGGAACTGTGTGCTGCAGCAGGTGGTCCAAGTACTGAGCAACTTCATCGTATGTGTCCGCTGGAAGGGGAGGCAGAAGCGTGGGGGTTCAGCCACTTTGTGCTGGGGCATCCCCAGACCCCGGAGAACTCCCCAGCTGTGCCTTGGCAAGGGCAAAGCTTTGCTGGCTGCACAAAGTGACAATATGGGGCTAGTGCTGGCAGCCAGATGGACAGTGCCAGCAGCTGGGCTCACAAAGCACAGCAGCTGCGGCACCCCTGTTTCTGCACTACTCTGCTGCCTGGGACATTGGCTGCCAGCTGGGGCCAAACGTGGGCTCCCCCCGAGTCCCACCTGGACAAAGGAAGCAATGGGGCTGCAGCATGTGTCTGCTCCAAGCCTGTGCAAGGACAGCAGAGTCCTGCTCAAACCCCACAGTGAAACCCTTGCGCTCTGTCCCTCCAGGGAAGAAGGTGAGGCACAGCCAGGGGCAGCCTGTCCAAGCAGAGACCGCTTAGGAGCGCCCGAGCACAGCAAGGGCCTCATCCAAGCAGGACACCAGCACGGGAGCAAGGCAGGGTGGGTTTTGCAACAGTTATTTCTAATTAGAAATTACCAGTTATTTCTAATTAGGAGTTACAGCTCCTGCCTTGCTCTTTGCCCAGCCTCCAGTGCTCCCATTGCTCCCAATGCCACGTTGGGAGCTCCAGAGCCACCGCTCGCTAACTGCGGAACGGAGGAGGGTGCTCAAGAGGCCACATCTCTGCTCAGCCAGGAGACATCAGTGCTGCCCAGCAGCAAGGGGGATGCCCCATGCCAAGGCAATGCAATACAACACAACACAGAGTTATCAATGCACTTCCAGGCAGCGGGCCAGGGCAAAGCCTTGCTGCTCTCCAGCTGGCAGACAAGCTCCATGGTGTCTCCCCCCAGGAGGTGAGCTGCAGACTGCATCTGAGGCCAACAGCACGGCATCCCCTTTCCACACCTGGTGGGGATGCCCTGTGCCAGCACCTGAAGGCTTGGCTGGAGGAGTCCCCCAGACATTAGGCTTGAGAACATCATCCTGCCTGGCTGCAGCATCTGACCACAGAAAAAAAACCTTAAAATTGAGCATCTTCTAGCTGCTGTAGAGGACAGACAGGCCCTGTCTCCCATTGGGGCTGGGGGGAAGCAGACACCTTGGAGAAGCCCAGGTGCAGCCTGCAAGAAGACCACAGGCAAAGGGAGAGGAGGGCAAGAGAAGTAAGTATTCAGAGACACAGCAGTGCAAACATTGGCTACAGGAGCAGCAGAGGCAGAGCAGACTGATGGGAAGGCTGGGAAGATGGCCAACACTAGGTCACACAGGAGGAGAATGTACCCAGGCCTGCTTGCAAGGGGAGCAGCAAAACTTGCACCTCACCATGGTCTCAGAACAAGGTGCTATGATGGGCCAAGGCCCTCTCAGGCACCCTATCCACAGCAGCAAGGCCTCAATTTGGCACCCACTGGAGCACTCTGCCCATGGAGAGTCAAAGGCTTTGGGAAAACAACACTCAGATTGCTTGGAGACATAGTGGCTCTTCCCCACCATCTCAGGCACTGTACCATCACTTTCTGCACTGTCACTTGTGCACCAAAGATCCTCAGTCAAGTCTCCCAAGTGGAGGCAGGTTGCTGAGCCTTCGTCTCTTCCCCATGCAACAGCCTATGAAGGTCGGAGCGGCTCATTCCAGAGTGTCCTCCGTGCTCTCCACGACCACGTCCACCAGCCTCAGCCCTGTCTGGCTGGGAAACCCCTCTGGCGAGGGGGGGTTGAGCTGCATCAGTTCACCCAGTCCCACCCCACTGGTGTCACCATGAGCGTCACCCAGACAAAGTTAATTGATGGAGGGTCAGATGGGAGCAGAAACATGGTGAAAACCCAAGTGTACGAACAACACAGTGACAGACGCTGGCAGGTAGGTTGGGTATTATGGGTTTATGGGTGAGTTTGGCATTTGCCACACCACAGCAGCGACTGGCCTGTTCCCCCTTACCATCCTCTGCTATCTGCAAGCCATGCAGCCACTCCTCGGCGTGTAGCTCCTCAAAGCTGTCAATGCTGAGCTCGTAACTCTTGGCAAAGACCTTACCCTCTGGCCCAGGGTCCATAAAGCTGAGGTGCGTTCGGCACGACGTTGTCAGGAACTCCGACAACTTACCCGTCTGGATCCTGGGCGAGAGGAGGGGAGATCACACAGAGAGGAAGGGGGAGGCAATACCCTTGGCTTTGCCTCCTGAATCCAGGGCAGGCCCTTCGGCAAGGAGAGACGCACTTGCCCAGGAATGTACACATGCCCCAGTGCCTGCAACTCCTCCAGCCATAGGTGGGCATAGAAGGGCTGCCCAAAAGCTATTAGAGGGATCCTGCAGCCATGGGTTTAATGGCATGAAGAGATATTATATATCTCTTCAGAGATATTATATTGATGGTTGGACTCGATGATCTTAGAGGTCTTTTCCAACCTTAATGATTCTATGATTCTATATGTCCTCTCTTGCATCTCTGTTGGGATTGTAGCCCTGGGGTGCACTTACAGCCTAGCACACCCCGATGTATCCTCCACAGCTTGCTCCCCAACAGCCGATGCTCAGGCCCAGCAGGTACCCTCATAACCAGGCTCTTGGAGGCCACCAGCCGTCTCCCCTCCTGTGCACCCCAGGAAGCTGTGCTCACCTTGCGCCACCGAAATACCCGTCCTGCAGCTTCCGCAGTGTTGCCAGCACTGTAGGGTGCACGCTGCTGCCAGTTTCATCTGTTGGGGACAGAGACACAGGCAGTCAGGCTCTCCCGCTCAAACAGGCTCCCAGAAGGTAACACGGGGCCAGGTGGGCATTCAGACACACAAAGCACCATGGCATCGGCCAGACCCTTGCTTTGGGGTGCACAGCCAGGCTGTGGCACCAAAAGCACCACCCAAAAAGGGAAATTCAGGACTGTCCAGGCTGGGTTCCAGCAAAGCCAGGCCAAGACGCACTCCAGGCTCTTGGGATTTCACCCTGGGCTGAAGCCAACAGTACCAGGCAGCAGCACCCAAATAGCCCCCTGCTCTGTCCCTGGCTTTCACACGAAGCAGTGGAGGGGGTGCTGCTGTCAGGGGCAGAAGACACCACAGCAAAGAGCATGCTCAAGACACTAAGGGGATTTCAAGTACACAAGGAGAGCCAAAAAGGCCTGAAAGCAGAACAGAGTCCCTTCCCTGCACCAGGCTCATAGGGAAGCTGTGAGCTGCTCCAGAGAAGCCAGTTTTGCTCTGTGCCATTGTGCAGCTGTGCTCCTTCTGGCTTGCTGTTTTCCCCTCCCTGTTGTCTAGGAAAGCCTTTAGCAGGTGGTTAGTCTTAGTGAAGGGTCAAGATGCAGGAAGAGCACCAAGAACACTTTTACAGGGGGATTTCTTTTTCGTCTTGCTCCCAAAAGGCCTCCTAACAAGCCTAGCTGCCCGGAGACTGAATACCTCCATGCCAGCAAATGTCCCTTGAGCTGCAGGCACTAGTGCTTGGCAGGCAGCCCCACTAGCTACCAGGACAGCTGTCAACTCAGTGTGGCTCCTTTGAGCGGTAAGCTCTTTACAGGACGCTACTGGCTGTTCCACGCCTACCACGTCCCCATTACCAAGACGGTCCCACATCTGTCCACCCGCTTCCTCCCGCAGAGGCTGCTTCCCAGGGCTGCTCTAGCCAAATGCCTTGTGAGGCCGGAGGATCTATACCGAGCATGGTGTGGGAGATGGGGAAGGTGATGGTTGGCTGCCCAGTCATCCTCCAGCGGCTGCGGAGGTATGAGAGGTCCGTCCTCAGCATCTCCACAATCATCGTGTTGTCGAGGGCCAGGTAGAACTGCTGCTGGTCTATGAACTGCAAAGACAGGAGGAGACGTGAGCAACCCTTCCCGCAGCCACCAGGTCCCTTTGGTGCCACTCACATCTTCCCACAGGCACTCAGCCAGGCCAGTCACACAGTGCACCCAGGGAAGATGCTCCTTTGCACCGACAGCTCATCCCACCTTACCTGGTATGTGCCAGTATAGTCTAGCAAGGGACCCGCAACCCCCAGGGCAGCTACTGGCCACCAACAGCTACAAGAGATAACACTACAGCTCAGCAGCAGCATCACCCAGGCCCCACACAGTTGGTCCATGCTGTGCCTATCCCAAGTAAATACACACTTCCCACAGCACCAGGCTTGCAACTCTGCTCGTCCCCGCACCATGCTGGACAGAGGGGACAGAGGGATTCCTGTCCTGCCATCAGCCTCCTCCTGGTGTCCTTGTCAGGGTGAACAAAGAGATTTTCATCCAACACTGATCATCAGAAGGCTGAAACCATCTCCTCCCAGCACATGCACAGCCAGGACCACCTACTCTGCTGCTTCACACCATGGAGCTGTGGCTGCTCCGCCCTCCCAGGCTGTTCAGAGGGTGTTGGGCCACCCCTGAGAATAACTGGAGCGCTCAGCAAGTGGAGAAACCTCCTGCCCAGTTCCAAATCGCATGACAGCTAGGAATGAGCCCGTGCAATGCCACCCACCTGCGGGGTAAAGGTAAAGATGTTCTTCCTGATGTTGTAGAGCTTGGAGGTCCCAAGGACACCCATGTGCCGGTAGGGCCGTCCCGTCAGGCACATCTGCTTGTTGCGGCCTAGAGGGGCAAGAGGAGGAGGAGGTTTTAGTGCAAGCTTCCTCACGAAAGGGGATGCAGCAGCAAACAGAGACAGGCCCCTGTGCTACCAGCCAGCAGGAAAAGACTGGTTTGTGGTTGGGGTACCCCAGGACCCTGCGTCAACCTTGCGCAGCTCTAAGGGACAGCGATACTCTGTCCCCCAGCCCTGCCCAGGGGGCTAGAGACACCCAGGCCCTCCCCAGGGACTCTTGCTGAAACAGGGACATACAGCCCATCCTGACCTCCGCAACATTCCACACCTCCAAGTCTTTGGGGATGTCAGAAGCTGGGGCAGGGCCAGGGGTTCCCCCCTGCACAGGGCTGACTCCCCAAAGCTGACAGCTCTACCAGCGTTCCCGTTGTTCCTGGATTACTCCCAGAGCCCAGGATGGTGCGGCAGCATTGCCCCTCTGTCATGTCAGCCCTGGCAGCTGCCAGGCTGCTCCCCTGCCCCCTTTGCCCATGTCACACTTGGCCTTTTGGTGGCTTAAATTAGCCAGTGTGTGCAGCCTACAGTGGATCAGGTTTCTCCTTTGGTCCAGGCTGGGTCTCCAGCTCCTGCAACAAGCCCCATGCCCAAGTGGTTGCAGCGTCAGGGAATGAGTGTGCAGAGCTCTGAAGCACACCCTCCCCTCACACTCAGCCCTGCCAACCCTCCAACAACAGCCATCCTGCCTGAGCTACAGCCTGTCTCGGCCAGGGACTGCCAGGGGACCCTTCTCTGGGGTCTGGCCTGCCTCCCCCATTGAGATCCAGGCACAGGAACAAAAGCTGCGTCCTGCCCATCCTGTATGGAACAGAGCCTCTGCCTGTCCCTAGGGTGACTGTGAAACTGCAATGCCAAAGCTTTATCCCTTTCAGAATCACCCTGAACAGCACTGCCTGCCACCCCAGTTCCCCTTGGACAGGAGTAGGTTTACCAGGCCCAGGAATGGGTGGCAGAGCCCTCATCAGCCAGGCAGAGAGCAGCAGGGCAGGACATGAGCATCTATAAGCAGGAGTGCCAGGGGACGGGACAGACCCTTCTGCACCCCCTTTGCTGCAGGAGCAGGGAGCCCAGCTCACCCAGCCGGGTGTAGATGTGGCTGAGGATGCGAGCAGGCTGCACTCTGATGGGGTAGACATCTGCCACAGTCTCCACATTGATGTCCTCCTTCCTCAGGACAGCCTTGATCCCCTCCGTCTCTGCCAGGATGCACACTGCGGAGGGAGGAGGACAGGCTCAGTGCAGCAGGGGCACAATGGTGTGACAGCACTGCCCCTGGCCTTCATGGACACATACAAGGTGCCACGTCACGTAGAGACAGCTGGCTGGGGTCCCTTTGGGAACCAGTTCCCGCTGCAGAGGTCTGCCTTGCTCCTCCTAATATTCTCTATGCCCAAGCCTTCCCTGCTGAGCGGCAGGAGGACAGGACAGTTTTCAACCTCTCTGCAGAGGAGGCTACAGCAGGTGATATTTCCCTGGGGCAACGCAGGGTGGAGTGGAAGGACTTGCACCCCATCTTATACCCACCTTGCCAGGGCTGGGGTCTGGCTGCACCGGCAGCCACCCAGCAAGCAGAGCCACCCCAGAGCCACCCCTGTGAATTCTGCATGGGCAGAGTCGCCAGGCCTGCCAGGCACAGGGGTTTGGGACTGGTCCCTTTCCCTCACCTTGGACCACCACATCGGGCTTGGGGACAGTCGCAAACCGGCGGTTGAGGGGATCTATTTCACCAGGAGCTAGAAACCCCTGAGGAAAAAGAGGTATGAGGAGATGAACATTTCATGGGCAGGGTAGAACAGATGATGCCTACGGACAGCCCACCTTTAAGAGGTCCTGAGGGATGGAGGTGACAACTTCCCCATGGTAGGTGGCTCAGGATGGCAGCATTTACCCTTTCAGAGCTCAGAGCCTGACCCCACAGCCCTCCCCATCACCAGGGGTGACCGTACCTCAGCCATCAGGCAGCCCAGGATGTAGAGGGACTGCCCCCACATGAGCGGCAGCTTGCCCAGAGGTATCCTGTCCACAGTGCGGGGGTTCCTGTACTCCTCATCCACCTGGAAGACAAGCCAGGAGGTCAGGGAGGGATCCACAGACACAGGATGCTGAAGGAAGCATCATCATTGCATTTTGAAGTCCAGCAGTTTAAGGCTTCAAACAAGAGCCTACGAAAGCATTTGCCACAGAGGGTCCAAAACATCCTGGGCTACATTCCTCCCCTCTTCTTGTGATTGCCCCAGGCACCCATGTCAGAAAACAAATCAGTTGTTCAGACTACATTTGGGTTCCCAACACGGGCCATCCCACGGGAACAACTGACATGCCCCAGGAGCACCGGGGCGATGCTCTCGGATGCTGGCAGGGAGAGCATCTCTCCTATACCACCTGGGCACCAGGAGGCTGTTGCTCTCAGCCCAGGCCCACACAAACACCTTCACCACTGAACGGGAGCTCAGCACAACCTCCTCAGCCCAGGTCCGCGTGTCCTGAGCTCTCAGAGAACTCTGACTCCAGGCCAGCAGACTGTCAGCAAAGCACCCTTGTGTATGGGGGCAAGAAATGCTTTGGGAAAAAAAAAAAAGCAGTTTATTTATCCAACATGGTTTTATAACAGCTCCAAGCCACACTTTTTCTACATGGGATTTCCATGCATGTACTGTGCTGCTTTACTAACGATTTGGGTTAATAAGCA